CTTCAGAGTCACATTGAATTTGTCATCATTCATGGCACCAGGTAAAAGTAACAGAAAGTAAGATAAGGCCTGTATGGGAGAGTGCTAATATTAGAGCCAGTTTAAGTTACAGCCTTCCCTGCCAAAGCTATAAATACAAATGACCAATTTAACAGCAAGAAAAGACCACCTACAAGATCTAGACCTAGGATCTAATCAGTTGCTCTGTGCCTTACTTCAATTATAGGATCCCTGCCAGGTTTATGGGGACTTTTAATGTGAGCATCACATTTTGGAAGACCATATCATTATGACCATGTTTGATCTGAGGGTGGGAAAGCACGAGCTCAAACAAAATAAACAAATGACTGCACAAGATTGCTTAGAACTGAACTGTAAATTGGCATCAACTAGAGCCTACTGTGGAAAAGAAGGAAACAGGTAAGAAAGAAGGTTTAGACACCATGGAGACTGCAATACAGAAAAATGGTGCCATTAAAAGTTCTTTCCAGGGGCTGGAGGGATGGTTCAGTGGTTAAGAGCACTGGCTGCTCTTGAAGAAGACCTGGGTTTGATTCCCAGCACCCACATGGTGGCTAACAACTGTCCATAACTCCAGTTCCAGGGGATCCAATGCCATGGGCATTGCATGACAGGGATGCACTTACATACATGCAGGCAATATACTCTTACACGTAAAATAAAAAATGATATTTTTAAAAAGTCCTTTCCATTTTGCTTAGGAAATGAAAAGATAGTTCAGAGTAAGAACCATAGTTTTGTCAACACTATTTAAGGGCATTCTGGGAAAGGATGATAAAAGACAAACATCATCCCCATTTGAGTGTGGCAACAGGATATGATTTATAAATGAAAAATTAAGTCATCACGATTGTTACAAAAACTTAATTGTTGCTTATATAAATATAATCCTAATCATGAATCAATTGACTCACAATGCATGTGACTTCTTAGGCATAAAGAAACCACGTAATTGCTTAAGATTTTATGAGAAGACCCCTAATAGAAAACTGGCTTTCTTTCCAAACACTCTGCACAGGCTCTGCTCTAGAGCATCTATTCTCAGTTATACTTCTAATATGACCTATGTTCAGATGCTCTGATACTCAGGACCTTCCTCATGCTATATCCTTCCTTTGGGCTGTCACATGCATTTCTGTGGCTTAAACTGGTATCTTGGACCACAAGCAGCACAGCTAAGGATAGTTATGAATAAGCCCAACACAATTTTGTAAACTTACACAAAACATGAGAATTTTGTGATTTTTTTTTTGCAACTTATCTGCACATTTCTTGAGTGTGAGCTTTGAAGATGATAACATTATGCTACAATGTCACCCTGGTGCCTCCCATGAACATATCATCGCTATCTGCATGTCTCAGACGCATATCAGAGTTCACATACCCAAAGTTTACTTTGCGGTCTTCCACCCCAAATCTAGTTTTCCTCATCAGTATCCAGTCAGTTATCCAGCAAGAAAAGAAGAGCTATCTTTTCCTTCTGTTTCACTTCATACACATAGTCCTCTTAACATAACTTGTTATTTATACATCTCTCCCTTCCTCCTTTCCCTTCCCTTCCTTCCTTCCCTCCCTCCCTCCCTCCCTCCCTCCCTTACCCTGCCCCCACATTTCTGTTTAACAGTCTTTCATAGGAAGGGCAAAATGTGGCTGACAGATTCTTTCCTTCCTTCCTCCCTCCCTCCCTCCCTCCCTCCCTCCCTTCCTACCTTCCTTCCACAACCATTGCTTTTGCTCAAGCTCTTTGCTAGCTCCTTATTTCTTCAACTTTTATATTGCTGATAATTATAATAATTAGAATACATTTCTTAGCAACAGAAGACAAGGTGATCCCCCAACCCTCCCACCCCACTGAAACAAGACACATAAGCCTAGCATGAACTTGTCATTCCTACAACCAGAATCTTTCACTACTGTCTGTATTATGGAAGCTCAGGTTCACTAACTATTCTATGGTGATTCTCTTTTTATTGGTCTTAATTCTTCACATACACCCTATAATCTGGCCACACCAAGGCTCAACCATTCCCCAAACATATCACATCTTTGATTTTCCTAAGATGTGCAGTATTCCCTCTGTCTGGAATGCCTTTCCCAACCTGCCTGAGGAGAATTCCTCATCTGTACATCAGGGTGATAGGAGTTGGATGTTCTCTCATAGGACCTAGACTAAAGGAATCTCAATGAGCATTAGTGACTATTGTCTCTCAGTCGCAGGACCTCTGGTCTTTTTAAAAAAGTCTTAACTAATGTATTGCCTTTGTTAGCTTTCCCTAGACTGTTGGGAATTTCTCCTCTGCAAACCTCCATGCCTAATTATAGTATCATATTGTACCAACTCAAAAACTGATGAACAGTTCACATTTCAGCATTTCCAATGTTGGGGTATAGTTTATAATCTGCACGTCATGGTTTAGTTGGTAGTAATCTTTTTCCTCAGTGGTACATATAATAATGGTGCTACTTACGACGAATGTGAAATTAGATAAACAATAGACTTACACTGCATGAAAACAGTCATAAAATATGACTATCCAAGGTCAAATAAGACATATTTGTTGTGGGAGGAGGATTCTACATTTTCTATTAATCATTGAAACAGCCACATTTTGTGTCTTTTTGGTTGTAAGCCTGAGTCTTTAACAGCTACGCCAGCTCTCCAGACCACAGCCACTTTTTTTTTTAAGGGTAACATCCTCCATGATGTCCTGCCTCACCAGAGCTCAGGGGCAAAAGAGTCAAGTGATCACAGATTAAACCTCTGAAACTATGAGCCAAAATAAATACTTTTTCCTTGAGAAGAAAGGAAAAATTATTGGTATTCCAATAATAACCAAGAGATATTCTATTTGTGTATCTTATGAGTTAGCAAAACTGATGCCTGTAAACCATATTTGATTACTGCTAGGTATTATGTAGTTCTTAGTTCTTAGTCATAGGCCCTAACCGTATGCCTTGGAACCACAGAACTACAGCCTGATATGGTGCCATGCTATGCCATCACCTAAGCAGCATTAATTGGCAGCTAGACATTGAGTCAAAGAGAGTACTAGGCAATTCTGTGAAACTCTGAACTGTGATAATGATTGAGATTGGAGAGCCACACAGAGGACAATGGAGAGATGAGGAAGACCCAGGACCATGGCTCTAGACTAGTAATTTCCAAGAGAAATACAATGTGGGCCACAAACAGGATTTTAAGTAGTCTAGCAGCTACACTTTAAATGTAGAATATCCAGATAAAGTAATATTGATGATATATTTCAGTCATGTAACTTCACAGGTTCAAACACTATCACTTTAATATGCAATCAATATTAAGAAAACAGAAAGAAAACACTTTTCCATGGTTTCTGTCAATCTGATACTGTGATCAACTATACTGCAGTTGCTCAACATCAAGTGTGTAAATGTCTTTTGTATCGGACAGTGCAAGTCCAGACCATTTTCATACACTTGGCTAAACAATAAGATGGTAATAACATGCTACTTTCACAGTGGAATTTTTACCCCATAATGTTGGTGACATTAAGATGCCCACAATATTATAAAGTTTAAAAAAATAGAATGCAATATTTCCCTCAAATTATTGTGCTTTGTTTTGGCTAATTTCTAACTTGAAATTAATCTTAGTGTCGTTTTTGTCTCCCTTCTCACTGTTGGCTAAAGGAAAGCTGACTATATCCCACTGCAGATCTTTGTCTACTGTGAAAGACCTTGAGACAGGATCAAAAACTATAATCATATCAAATAGCATACCCAGTACCTTACAAATGGCAGACACTGAATACGTGTCTTTGATACACATTAAAATGGGAAACGAAGTTGAGAATAGCAGTCCCTGAATTCGGGATCAACACTGGCGTGACCTGGAGAACAAAAAATAATGAGATACCTCATTTCACCAAAGCTCCCACCTTCAGAGAAGCTGGCAGTAGGTCTAGAGTATCTTCAGAGTATTGAGACTTAAGGCTCAGTAAGGCCAACTCTGACTTCAGTTTCCATGCAAAGAACGCCTTGTCATAGAGGAATGAGCAGTGATCTTTGCACAAAGGGAGCAGCTGGGATGGAGTTCCTCTGACTCATGGACTGAGAATTTCTCTGCTAATTCTCAAGGTGGTTTGGCCATACTTTGTCAGTTGACCATGCTTAGCAGTGTGTGGTTGCTGGTGTGGTATCATGTGGCCTTATTCAGTAATAGAAACAGCATGTTGAACTATCCCCAACTAGTCTAACTATTCTTACATGCATTCATTTCCTCTGGCTTTCTAGTAAAGAAAAAAGCGCCCTCCAAACACCTCACACTTAATTTTCTTTCACATGTTACAGTAAACTCAAGAAATTAAAATAGAAACTATGTAAAAGGCACTGGACTTTCAGGTTCACTAACCCTAATCAAGAAGCTTCCTAGTTTTACCAAAACAATGGGGGAAGGAACAGATCTTGCAAAGGTTTCTCAGTAAAGTTGGGTCCTCTGCTTATCTCAAAGAGCCAACAGGTGCCATGTAATTGGATGCATGGTATTCACTGGGTCCCAATGAACTTATCTGTAAATATATGGAAAACCTAATCCAAGTTTCCAAGTTGCTGCACTCATAAGACCAAGAATATAATCCACTTGCCAGGGTTGAACCACAAATCTGGGCTCAGGGCTACACAAGACTTGCACATACAGTTTTTGGTCAATTAACATGTGCTGAGGACGTTTAAGCTCCAGGAAGTGACAGAAAGGCTTACCTTCAAAATATCTCAAAAGCAGGATAATAGCAACATGGGATTTGTAGGATGAAATGGACTTAGAACATGACATAAAAAGCTATAGGACAACTCCAGAATAGAACCACCATCAGAAAATGGACTCCCACAATTAGTGGTGCTGCCTATGGCCAGACAGGATACAAGAAGCAGTAGGTCTCAGAGATGGTGTCATAACAAGATTGTTTCAGAGTATCCATACGCTGTGGATCAAAGCCACCTACCTTTCTGGAAGAACTCTTCCAGCTTGTCCTTGAAAGGCTGTAGATATTCTTTTGGGGACTCCTTGCACACCAACTTCATCTGTTGCTCACTTGCTGTAAAGAGAAGTGTAAATTAGACTTAATAAAGAACACACATTTGCTGAGTGCCTGCTCAGGCACTGGGCTATGTTATCAATTGTACAGATTCCTTGTCAATCATGGTTTAACCAAACTCCATGGGTGGCAAATAATGAGCTCACCCTGTACTTCTCTTCAGAAATAGGGAAATGTACCACTTTCTATTTTCCTTCAGTAATCCAGAAAACCCTCTGATTTGGACCAAATAAAGTATTCTGCTGTGTGTTGCCTCAAAAAGAGAAGGAAAAATACTTAGGGATTAATACCAAAGAATTAAAGTCCCTGCCACCCTTCAGACTCATAGAGGCTAAAAAGATTTTTCTTAAGTTCCTAAGCAAGTTGCCTAGAATCACCAAGTTGGATAATTGCCAGGGCACCATGCACACTCTAGCTCAGTTCATGAAGGACTATATTTACTTTTTATGCTTCTCATCTTAAAAGAAGTCTGTTTTCAGGACAAAAGTGCCTAGAGTTACCTTAGGTCCAGCTACAGATGAGCAGAGGCCTCCTAGCCTCTGGTAATCTAGGTGTCTTCACAAAATTAAAAGTGTAAACAAATATTAACAGCCAAGCTTACCTAAAGACCTGAGGACATGACATAGTTCATCTATCTGAAAAGCTTTAAAAAAAATAGGGTGGAGCTCTCTCCTAACCACAGGCCTCTCTCTTCGGGGTAAGTCCATCCTGCCCTCCACACTTTGACTCCCCCAGCATCATTCACCCTCCCATCTCCCCTGCCCATCTCTCCTCCAAGCCTGGGTCCTGTCTCATTCCTTGTCTTGGCACCCCAGACACCTAGGAACCACCACTGCTTCCTGATCCTTTGCATTCAGACCAACTCAGTTCCTTCTTAGGTCCCCAGGAGAACTCAGGGCCTGGCCCCGCCCTCACCTCCCTCTATTTCCTTGGGTCTGTACAACATGCCAGCTTCTTTCCTGGACTCCAGGGTTGACCTTTCCTCTTCCTGATCCTTTGCATCCAGACCAACCCAGCTCCTCAGTGCAGTCCCCAAGAGCCCTTGGGCCCCTACCCGCCCCCATCTTCCTTTGCATCTCTGGATGGCACGGCTATCGGCTGCCCTAGAACAGCATCTTTCCTGGGACTGGCTCCCAGGCCAGTCCAACCTCCAAATTCCTGAGGCCAACATTTTTCATGGAGGGATCCAGACCTTAGGAAAAAGCCTGAGAGCATATGATCCTCATCTGACTTGGGCCTCTGTGGGAACTCCTGAAGACAAAAGCAATCTGGCCACTCCAATATAAAATCAAAAGAGAAAACCAGAAGCTTAGATGAACCAGCTTTTCATGACCCAAAAGTAAACCACATAGACACATAAAGTTCACAAAAAGAAGCAGACCTAAACTTGAAGGCTTGAGTCTCACACAAGAATCAGAAACTACAAAAGAAATTCACATGTCAAAATCACAGAGAAAAAATAATAACATGAAAAACCAAATCAGAAACTACAAAAGAAATCCACATGCCAAAGACCAAAATAATATATCCCCACCAAGTACCAACAGTCCTCTAGAGGAGTACAATGAGAACCCCCTGGAGAAAACACAGGACATGGAACTCAAAAGAACAATTATAAAAACAATAAAAAGACTTCAGTGAATTTAAAGAACAAAGAAATCAAAGAACAGAAAGATGATAGGGATAAACTTCTGAATGAATTCAGAAAAGAGCTAGAAATATTGAAGAATACTCAGGCTGAAATAAAGAACGAAGTGAAACACTCCATAAGCCAATTAGAAACGACAGGAGAAAGCCTCACCAATAGGGTGAACGAAATGGAAAACAGAGTATCAAGACTGGAAGATAAAGTGGACGAACTAGACCACTCAAGCAAAGATTATGAAAAATTTAAGAAATTACAAGAATGGAATATGTAGGAATTGTGTGACACCATATAAAGATCAAACTTACGAATCATAGGCTTACAGGAAGGAGAAGAATCCCAAGATAATGGACCAGATCTTCAACATGAATTGTGGAAGAAAATTTCCTAAAATTAAAGAAAGACATACCCATACAAATAGAAGAAGCATATAGAACACCAAACAGGACCAGAAAAGAAACTCTCCACAGCCCACCATACTAAAAACACTAAACATAAAAAACAGACAATACTCAAAGCTGCAAAAGAGAAACAAGTCGCATATAAAGGAAAACCCATTAGGATTACAGCTGAATTTTCAGTGCAAGCTATCAAAGCCAGAAGAGCTTGGACCAAAGCATTCCCAGTTTTAAATGACCACAGATACCAACCCAGATTGCTATACCCAGCCAAAATGTCTATTATAGTGAAAGGGGAAAGAAAAATCTTCCATGACATAAATAGGCTGAAGGACTTTATGTCCACAAAAGCAGCCCTTCAGAGAGTTCTGGAAGCAATACAAAGAAAGAGCTGAAGAAAGGAATGACTCTACCCAAGGGATTTAGGAAAGAAATGCAATGAAGGTATAGCTGTGGAAAAGCACAGCTATATCAAGAATGTAAACAGAAATAAAAATGACAGGATTCAATACTCATCTTTCAAGGACAGACATTACTTTAAGGTGAAAGGATGGAAAAAAAGTAGTCAGAGTAAATGGCTCTAAGAAGCAAGTAGATGTTGCAATTCTAACATCTGACAAAATAGACTTCAAAGTAAAATTAATCAGAAGAGATAAGGAGGGTCACTTCATTCTGATCAAAGGAACAGTCAAGCAAGAAGATATTACAATCTTTACATCTGTGTACCAAACTCTGGTTCACCCAAATTCATAGAAACGCTACAGGACTTTAAAACACAGATTAACCCCAACTCATTAATAGTAGGGGACTTCAATACCCCACTGTCTTCATTAGATAAGTCAACAGGGCAAAGAGTTAACAGAGAGACATCTGAATTAAGCAATACCATATATCAAATGGACTTAATAGACATCTACTGAGTATTCCACCCAAGCACCAAAGGACATACTTTCAACTCAGCACCCCATGGCACCATCTCCAAAATCAACCATATACTGGGACACAAAACAAACCTCAACAAATACAAAAAGACTGAAATAATTCCATTCTATCAGATCACAATGCAATAAAGCTTACAATCAATACCTGAAGAAGCCCTAATCACCACATGAACACATGGAGATTAAACAACACACAACTGAATGACGAACGGGTCAAAAGACAAATTAAGAAAGAATGAAAAGTATTCCTGGAACTAAATGAAAAGGACAATACAACACAAGAAAACCTTGGGGACACACTGAAAGCATTCCTTAGAGGGAAGTTTATAGCTCTAAGTGCCTACATCAAAAAATCAGAAAGAACACAAATAAATGACTTAACACTGCAACTCAACACA